GAAGTAAGCTAAAAAAAATTACAATTAAGCAATCTTGCTTTCAATCCTATCTGTAAAATCACTTTTAGTAAAGATCCTGAACTAAATATTATAAATAATAATTAAAAAAAAACCCTGCAGGTTTTGGGTCCCCCAGGCGAATATTCACTTTTGAGAGAGTTGGAGGTAAGTAGAATGATTATTCTTTAAAACTTAAATTTCATGTAGCTAGCTGAAGCTTAAGTGAAGTACATTTCAGGTTAATTTATCAATCAGAATTACACTTTAAATAGATTCTAATTTAGGCTTTACCTACACAAATTACTCCATTTTATCTTAATCAGGTAATGATTTAAGGTATCAGCATTCATGAGTCAAAACAATCTGAAAGTATCCTTAGGAGGATTGAACTGATTTAGTAATTCAAAAAACACTTTTAGTTATGCACTGTAATTAGATTATGCATACTGTTAAAGTAAAATTCTGAATTTTATACTACCAAGTGTGACGATAAAACAAAGAGAAAGTTTAGGGACTTTATCCCCAATGGAAACAAGTTTCTCCTATTAATATTCCAACATTATAATACACACAGGTGTTTAACAGAGCACTGTCTTCAGTGTTCTCTGTAGCACCTTTTAAAAAGGCCATGAGAAAAAATTCTTACAAGATATGCATGCTTTTATTAATTTTGCTAATTTTACTTATACATGTTTTGGCACAAACGACCCTAACCTTCTGAATTTCTTACTGTCTGCCTCTTTTGACAGGTACAAACAAGCCTTTCTCTTTGAACACTCTTACTTCCCTAAACATAAGCAGCTTTCTTGTCACTTCTCTCTTTCAGGATGATCATGTTTTTCCAGAAAAGTGACTTGGCTTTTTTTTTTTTTTTTGGTCATTGTTTTTCCTCCCTAACATTGACTCTAGAGAGAGAAATTAAACATTAGCCTGAGTTGACAGTGATGGATTTAATACTGAATAATTTAAAGCTGGCTTAGTCGACTCCACTGCTCATGTTTGAGAAACTCAGGAGCTCTGAGAACCAGATTTGGGATCTAATGTTTAAAGTTCAACATGCAGATAGCATGAATATCTCCAATATTCATGAAGGGAACCGTTAAAGGAATATATCTACAGTTAATATCATGCATTCAACAATAATTGCATCCTGCTGTAAAATAAAATCAAAAAATAAAAAACCAACAACAAACAAACAAACAAACAAAAACATGACAGGCTCTGGAAGCACTTATTAGCTTATAGCAGAAGATTCGAGTCAAGCATTGCCACTTTTCTCAGCAAAGTATCCAACCACAGCACCCCCCGCTACTCCACTGGGTGTTACTCACCTGTGTCTTCGGTGTGGATGACAGACCTCCTCCCCCTGTTTCTGCTCCCATTCCAGATTTCCTCCTGGAAACTCTCAGCTGTGACAGGACCGGGTACCCTGTTTCCCTGGCAGAGACGAGTGCCAGTGAGCGCAAGCAGCCCAAGATTTGCTGCTCTGCCCACCTTGTCCCCTGAACCAGAAGACCACCCCACCAGCTTACCTGCCTGGCAGCAGCTGCTGACACTTGCAGGAAAGAAGAAGCCGGGGCACCTGCTCGGTTTTCATCAGGGGACACAAGTGGCTGGTTTAGCTGGGAGCTTGCCTGGGCCCTGTAGATCAGCTCGCTACGGAGAGCTTCTACTTCTGTTTTCAGGGTGATAACATGGTAAAGAGACACTGCTGCAAGACAAGAGGACAGGAGCATTGCAAGCCACAGGAATGTGACAGAAAAAAGTCCCCTGGTGCCCAAACCAGCACCAGGGGGGGCAGAGGGAGAGGAGGCGGTATCCTTCTGCTGGATGACGTGCACACAGTCCACGGATTTCATCGCTGCTCTTTCCTCACTAAAGCCAGAGGGAGAGTTCAGCTGCCTCCTTGTGAGGTGCAATCCATGTTACCCGTTGCTCTGTGAAACTAAGGGCATCCAGAATAAGTGAACAAAACGCCCAGATCATTTCCTGTCATATGAAGCCGTTGATATAACCATTAAACTTAATGTACAGAGTGAGTGTCTAAGATTCAGTCTCCCTTTAGTTTTCTTCTTTCTGTGCTGCATTTTGGCAACAAATACTTTCTCATGAGCTGCTTGCTCAATCTACCTTCCTCCTTTCACTTTCAACTATTCATTTTTGTGGCAACTTGCTCTTACCATTTCCCACTACCTTTAAATTTAGGCACAACTGGTACCACTTGTATTTAGAGCCTTATCTAGAAATGCAGAAATGTAAAGTTTCCTGACACTATATCATCCAATGCTGCTTAACAGACATACGCCTATGATGATGCATGTGTATAAAATTATATAATATATATATATATATGCATGTATATTTTCATATGTAGATTTTCATATCTAGAGTGCCTATATGCCTGCAATGGCTCAAATAACCTTTTGTGTGATTTCCTAAAACAAAAGAGTGACAAATATTCCCAGACATGAGTAAGAAATTACTGCTCTCTCAGCTGTATGAAGGGACAGGTTCTGTGGGTTCAATTTATCATGCTAACTTGAAAAAGAATGAGGTTTTAGTAAACCGATCTAATAAATATACTAACTTTGCTATAGAGTTCAAGGATCTGGATTGAAGTAAGGAGGGAAAAAATAGAAGAGAGGGGGATCGAAGAGGGGAATAGAAGCGGGGAGAAATAATAGAAGGAGGAATAATAGAAGAGGGGTGAAAAAAACTTTCAGTATGCCTGCTTAATTTTTTAGGTGAATACTACAAGCCTGGCTCATCTATTTTTAAGATCCTACTAATCCTTTCATCTTAAAAGCCTGTATTAGGGATTCTTTCCTTAATGTACTTGCCATCCTCAGCAGCAAGGGTACCTGAAACATTCAAAATATGTTTACAATGTCCCACACAAAACTAAAGTTTCACTCTCTGTTAAGTTTTTCAGTGGTCTGGGCCAGAAAATCAAAAAGCATCGTGATGAAGACTAAAACCAGTAACTTAACTCCCAACTGAATACTGAAATTTTTTTTACCACAAAAGTAAACTTAATCCTTCCAGGAGAGAGCTTTTACAGGTCTGTTTGAAAAGTGTGCAATGAACCCTCCCAGCAATACCTGCCAGAAGCAGTACAGATCAAGCTGATCCTGTCAGGAAACAGAGGGACAAGAAGGAGAAATGGAGTAAAAACTTTGATGTTCTCTCCCACCTGTATTTCTCAAGACTGTAAAAAATTGAAGGTCATTAAAAGCTTTATCATCTTCCACTGGCATACAAGGTTCCCCTTTCCTTACTTTGCTACCTTTAACAACCATCCACTATACTGCACACACAAGTCATTCTTTTCTTAAAAGCAGAGAGAAAATATACATATTATCCTTTTTAACATGCTCCTAGAAGACACTTGCATACTGTGAAAAACGATACTGAAACTAGTATACAGTGGAATAATAAGAGCAGAATGCCATACCCTTTCCACACCTATTTTCAAGGCTAAGTTAAGGTATAATTGTTGATGAGGCTGCATTTTAAAGCAAACTGAAGATGTATTAAGGTAGATTTTGTGGAACATAATAAGCTAACTAAACATACATGCCTAGAATTATCAGTAGACATTAGAATGTCCGTGTTCTAAGACCGTCTGCATTCCAAAACTGAAATATGCCTGCTAGAAAAGAAGCATTATTTAAGAAAATGAAACAACGAGAGAGAATGGAAGTTATAACCAGTTATTCAGGAGTATTAAGAAACAAGTGACCAGTGAGGTCTCTGTAGTCATTAACATATAAGAAAATAGCTGCAGTTATATAATTAGCATCACTGGAGTTGCTTTTATATCAAATAGGCTGTTTCTACCACCCACGCCTTCTTTAAATAGGGTCACTACTTGGGCTGACAGAAGTAGCTGCGGTGATACAGAGGACTTCTGTAAGATGACTGGCTCTGGCTTGCTTATCATTTTGATAAATTAGAATTACAAAGGGAAAGAAGAAAAATCAGAGCAGCCCACACATGACAAATTGTTAAATTTCAAAGGTATTTCTAGTCAAGCTGCAAAGCGATCACTCTCTTTTCAACCTTGTTCATTTCTATAGCTTCTTAAGCAATGAAGGGATCTGAAAGAAAACAGAATTTTTGATAGATTTCACAGATGACAAAAACATAATAGAACAACAATGACAGGGAGAGTCAATCATGAAAAACAATTTGAACTTCCTTGGAAGCACGCTTAGTTGAACAATTTATGTTTTAGCATAATCAAATGACACTTCAGCAAATTAAGGACTATTAATTAGTTCTATGTAAATAGCAGTTCAGAAGGCCAGCTGACTTTTTTCTTTCTTGACAACAGCCATGTTAGTTAGAGAGCCTAGTGCCTAGTTGGAGCTGGTGCCTAAAGGCTTCTAGCTATGCCTTGTCAGAGCATACTTCCCCTACGATTCCTCCTGTTAGTAGAGCTGCAAAGTCCTCCTTAATTGGCTTAAAGCAAAGTCAATAAGGTTAACTCATGACCAGTGTATTCTGCATTTTAAGCTAAGCTATGTTGAAAGAGGAGTAAGGAGTGTTTACTTGAGGTCTTCCATTAGCAGACTTGAGAGGGTAGTGACTCCAGACGAATATAAGCTCTCAGTGGAACTTTGTTGTTGAAATATAAATGTAGTATTTGCATATAAAATATTTATTTTTATAAATTAAATTTATAGTATAATTTTAAAAATTCTGTTTATAATATTTATATTTATATATAGATAGATATATGCTGGATAATATTAAGCACAAATAAGAGCTAATAACAATTGTGCTTTAACATTAACAAGACCGTTACTGAATACTCTGTACAGTTATGATGGCCAAAAGCTAAGAGTGAAAAGGATTCGGAAAAAGAAATCATAATGAATGTAAGAGGCCTAAAGAATCATTGCATCAAAAGGGTAATCGGTTTGCAGCTAGAAGCCTGTTTCTACTGGTCACCTTTCTCAAATACTCTTTAGCAAAAGGTTATGCCATATAAATTGTTTTGGCGCAAGGCCCATATAACATACTACATGTGTACAGTAAAATCTTAGGGTGACAAGTGGCCACCGAAAGACCAGTTCAAGCAGCTTTTTCCAAACTATTCCTAGAGAAGAAAATGCCGCTTCATTAAACAACAGAAACCCAGTCCTAGGCATCTGCATCTGGAAGCAAACAAGGATATGCCCTTATAATAAGGTTATTCTGAAAATATCATTCTATTTCGCACACACAGTACAGCTGATCCATGCACATACAGTAAATCCAATCATGCAGCGCCTACTTAGCCCAGAGGATGAGCTATGTTAATCACTCAGGTGGACAGACTGAGCACTACTCAGAGCCTTAATGCATGCAACTAAGGAACCTCTTCAATTTAGCCAAGGAAAACCAGTAAGAAATATTTTTACCAGTCTAAGAATTTTACTTAGTCAAGTCTTTAATTTTAGGGAGGGGGGGAAAAAGCATAAACTAGGTGAAACTTAAATTAAGAGGAAAAAATATTTACCAGTGTGTTAGCTATGAGAAAAATTTACTGCAGGAGACAGTGGTTTCTTGAATAAAATCAAGACTGGCTAATCTTCTAAGATGTCACAGCTGAAGCAAACAATTAATTTCTGCAAGTAGATAAATTTCGTTCATTTCCGTTATGCAGAACATCAGATCAAATGATCAAGATGGGCCCTGCTAACCTTCAAATTTATAAATCATCACTACATCTGCGGGGAACTGAAGCAGAGATAGTAAGCGATCACACAGGAAGTTTGTGGTTGAACCAGAAACTGAACCCTTGATTTCCTGAAATCCAGTCCAGTGCTTTAACCACAAAAGCATCTTCTTCAAGGGGCAGAAAAATCCCATAATGAAGTTTAACACACAAAAGAGAAGCAGAATACTTAAATAAGCAGACTTGAATAAAAACCTAGCTCAATGAAGAAATGTAAAAGTTTATTTATAAACAATTTTATATTTATAAACAAATGCTCTGTTTTTAAAAGGGAGGTTGTGCAGATGCTGCAACACAGAAACCCTGGCCAGTGCCAACGGCCATGCTAGAAGTGCATCTCCAATGGCAAAGGTCCAAATTAGCAACAGAATTGTTCACACACTTCTGAAGTTGCCACAAAATGGAACTGGTTCCTGTTACTACTACAAAAAGAAAGAAGCCATGATAACTTGCCTTACTACACAAGACAGAAGAGCAAAGGATAAGCAAAGCTTCCAGTTTAAACATATTTAATTTCAAGTCTTCTCTGAAGGTGGAAAGAATTAACAAGACTATTGTGGAGGAGGTCAAGATAAATCCCATATGATGGTTTTCTGCTAATACAGTCATCTATTAAGATCACTCACAGACAGTCCTCTGAAACAATATACATTCCCTTCAAGGACACTTAATTAGTTTCCTCAGCCATACATCCCTATTTCCATAATAATAAAATCAGGGAAATCCCTGCCTCACATAAATCAACCTATTTGTGCCTTCAGTGCTACTGTGGCTTGTGTATCTTTAATTTTAGGCAACTGTCGAGTACATCATAAGTAGAGGATACGAAAGAGCATTATACAAATAATATATCAAATAAGGCTTAAACTATCTTGTTAAAAAAAACTAAAAGATTTTTCTGAAACAAAAGTGGTACTTTTGTCATTTTGGCTCTTAATTCAAAATTGTCTAGGACAACATGAGTGTGTCTGCACACTTTAGATATGCCATGCTTGATTTATTCTTTACCTAAGAGTTCATTTTTCTAGAGATATATAAGAAAAAAAAAAAGTTCAGTTTCTTATAAACCCATTGCATTTATTAAATAATTTACCTCTTAAACATAATCAATATGAAAGGGCCAATAGAATTTGCTAAGAAACAAAAAAAGCTAGTCTGAACCAAATTTAACTTTCTCCCAGCAACCTAAATTAGGACTTAGCCTCCACTTTCATCATTAATATTTAGAATATAGCACAGTTCCTAGACTTATTCTTCCCAATAGGTTTAACATTACTTTAAAATCCATTTTAACACAACTACGTAATGTTACTTACCTAAAGCGTCTAGCACCTACGATTCTATTACCACTGTTTTCAGCGACAGCTCTCTGAGAACAGCAAACTTGACTCCAAAGCTAGCATGTGTACAAGTGCATAAAGTAAACCTATAGCTGACTTGCACCTATCACTAAATGCTTTTTACAACATGGTTATTACAGTGCTTTCAAAAACAATAGGAAATGGCACAGGAAGGAAAAGAGATTATCATAGGTCTGTTTCAAACTATGTAGCAGAACCTACAAGAAATATAAAATACAAAGGAGAAAACACAGAAGATCTATATATTACAGACGCTTAATGACAAAACCATTCATGATGTTAAAGTAATGTCTTCTTACTGCATTGAACAGTGAAAAAAGGAGCACTGTCATATAGCTGGAGCTAACCTCACTTACAGTTTCACTAGCTTGGTTACCCAGCAACACGAAGCGTTTCTCCAGCACTATGCAACTAGACAGACTTTGCACAGATGGGCTGAAAATGCATTTGTACAGTGGCAAAATAAAACAATAAGCCATCACCCTTCACGTGGGAGTGGCCACTCTTCTGCTGCTACACACTGAGGACTTTTAATAGAGGGCACAGGCCAGCGATCCAAGTATTCTCAATTCATAGCATTATTTATTTGTAGACATGTTTAATTGCTACATTGCTCCCGAGTCTTCAAGAGCAGAAAGGAAAGGGTACCCTGTCTGACCTTCCACTTTGAGGTTTTGTAAATAATTAGGCCACACCAGAAGCTTGACGTAAAACAGCTGTAGAACTTCCTTTCTTTCTATCTTCAAGTAGAAAAAACTGCTCCTTAGTTGCTCTTAGTAACCAGGGGCATGCCTCTCCAGAACCTGACATATAAAAGCAGTTACATTTTATGCAAAAACTTCATCCTTGTACTTCTACATTATTGAACTCATGACTTAAGATTATTAAAGATACACCTGCAATTCTTATGAGTGAAATCAAGCACTGTTACGTATTAAAAACAGACCTGCTCTTAGGATGCACCATCTTTCACAGAAAGGAAGACTACTGTTATTCAGGAGAGAGGAGGATGATTCTGCTCCCACCCGAGCTGACGCCTAACATGTTAAACCAATTACATTAAGGTTTTCAGCATATTTTCAGAAAATGATCAGTGTTCATTCTTAGAACAGGTATCTTCCATCTCTGTATACAGATAAAGAATCTCTAGAATAGGTCTAAAATTAAGCCCCAACAGAGGATGTAAAGCTTTTAACGAGCCAAGTCTAGGTTAGACACCAGTACATGACCAATGACATCCAAATATCACTAACAATTCAAACATGACACTCCCAGCAGAATGATTAACTTTTAAATTGTTCCTATTTTTGTTTTTTTTTGAGAAAAGGAAGAAGTTAAGTATTAATAAATATAGTAAGATTTAGAAGCAAAGCCTCCTACAGAGCTTAGGCACTGAGATTAAAACCATGCAGTCATTCAAGATCTCTGGAGCAAATAATTTTTACCTAGCCAATGCTTCAGTTATTTTCCTAGAACTTTACCTGCCTGTACTGTATCTTGTTCATACACAAGAAGTCCCCTGCTTTTGGTTTAGGTTTCCCTTATAGCATTTTAGTTCTGATGTTCCAATGTCTTTATATATTTTTTGCTTTTATATATTTTTAAGCAGTACTTGCAAATTCTGAGAAAAATTCAAATATTATACTGTACATTTATCTAGTTGCTATAAAGGTTTATACATATTTACTAAGCAGATGAAAATTACATCAATCTTACTAACGTATCACTTCATAAGGCATTCCAGGATAAAGCTGTATTTTGAAGCCCAGTTGCCTATCAGTTTTCAGATTTAAAAAAAAGCAAATGGAAGTCTTGCAGTCATCAGCCTCTCAAGTAAGATTTAGTGATACAGTTCTCAAGACAGCAAACTTGCTGTTTATTCAAGGGTATTATATACATGAAGTACCCACATCTGAGTTGCTCCTTTACTTTCATTGTTTAAAGAATCAGAAATATCTGCTCCCCCTATGCCCGGTTTCCTAGGTATTGGGTTAAAGTTCAGCTATAAGTCTTGTACTCATCCAAGAGAGGACACATACTTTGCAACTTCAGAAAATCAGCAGCAGTAAATCCTTACGAGGTATTTCACATCACTATGGGCTGTATGTCTGGAAGGGATTTAAGCTATGCATTTCTCTGTAACAAAGCAACATTTGTTTCAGCCTAAGCATCCCACTGCAGCTATATAAATTAACCAACTATATATAGACTAGAGTGCCATTAGAGCATTTAAAATATTTCCAATAGGAAGTAAAACTACTGAGAAACAGACTTAAAAATATGTCTTTCAATCTTTTCAATCCAAGTGACATAATATTCAGATCATCTCTCAGTCCCCGGTAAAAGTTTTGAAGTGCAACACATGATGGCAGGCGGCAGAGGCTACGGAATATCCGTTTTACTCTTAATGCTCCCCGAAAGCAAGGATATGTAACAAAGCTTAGAAATGAATATTTGGAATTTAACTTTTTCTCCTCTACTGTAATAGCATTCCAACTCCACAGCTACCAACACAGATGCTTCTTCTATGTGCACTGGTGTTTTGTGACTGCAAAATTGTATCTTAAGATTAATCAGTTAACATGCATACAAAAATACCCCTACTGAATACTCCCATACTGAAGAGAGGTCACAAACTGGAATAAGACATTAATATCACTTTTATCGTATCAATTTATTGCATGTCAATACATAAAAATAGAAAAGTGTTTTCTGTAAAATTAGTTTTATTGTAAAAATCAGACTAGCATAAGAATGTAAAACTCCACCACGGTTAGCACGTATCTGGTAACATTTATGCTTTGTCCACAAAATTAAGGAGATAAGAATACCTTAACTGATATTTTTGCTTAAAATATATAATAAAGAAAAATTCAAATAAAATTATTGTATTATTTACTCAATGACTGTTTCTGATTCAAAACATCAGTGTTCTTTAGAACTTGAATATACTTTGTCTGTTTTCACTTCAGTAGGGTTCTACCTTAAATTATACAAGGAGAACAGGGTTATTACTTAGTCTTAACAGGATACGTCAGGTTGATACCACCACACGCAGGAGACAGCGATTTTGTATTTGGCAGAAGTGCTCCTGGGAAAGTCACCTCTCATTTACAAAATTAAAAAAGGCATTTTCCAAGAACTGAATTATGAAATACAAATGGAGGTATACCTGCATCTTTTTGCTAATAGAAGAGACCATACCTTAGAATCTCACTTCAGCCTTGCATTTGCCACTGTGAACATCCAAGGTGACGCAAATGATTAGCTAAGAGATGCTGATATGCATATTTTATATAAATAGTTAATCCATCTGCCCTTCAACCAAGAGATTGTCCTTAGCCTACCAAATGGTTTTGTGCTTTATTTCTAATTTTACCTGAGTAATGGACATTCGGGCAGTTGTATCAGTTAACAATTTTTCATCTGAAAGTATAGCTTATCTCTGCATTTCACAGTTCAGAAGTAGATACTGGGAATGTAAACTTGGGTTAGTAGGAAGTCTCAAGTATTTCCTCTAATTAAAACCACACAGACAGTCTTATACTGGATGATTCCTCATACAGACTCTATTGCTACAACTGTTCAATTCCTGACTTTCTTATAAGAGAAACTTTAAGTTTTAAAAGTGGCACAGTTCCCACATAGAACATATTTAAGCCAAAAGGTGACTTTCTTACAAACTGGTGAAATAAATTCAACTCTCCCTTCCCAAACCAGACTAGAAACTTGTTTATACAAGACAAACATTTGGGAAACTTCTATACCTGAATGAAGAACCAGTATGGGAAATCGTATAATGGTATTAAGTGGAATAAATGCAACAGCAGTCATAATACAACTTCTGGCAATTTAAAGTTACTGCTACTATGGATCCTGCAATGCACTGTCTCGTAATGGCTTTTAGCAGTAGATAACTGTGGGTTGCTATTATACAGACTGTAAAAATAAAAACATGTATTGACTTGTCAGCTGTAAAGGGTTAGCAACAAGTTTCCTGCTCCTTCTTCCTCCCTCCTCCCTTAAAAGGGAAAGGAAAGACCACATTTACAGCAATGGAATATTTACATAAGATAATTATTAGTATTTTCTTTCTCTTTTCTTTCAGTGGATTTAACAGCCAATGCAAATAAAAAAATAGAACCACAGGTATTCACCCAGAAGCACATGTGGGCAACCTATTAATAAAAAATAAAAAGGTCCATATACTGAAGGCGGAAGAAAACAAGTTAAGTTTAAAGTATGATGCTTGTGTCTTCTCAAACATATCTGCAAAGTTTCATCTTGATGTCCTGCAGACACTACGGTGAAAAGATACAGCCTGATAACCCAAAGCAATGTTTAGAACTGCTCATAAAGTACACTGCAACGAGGCTGCCATAATCTAATACCACACATCAGACATTACCTTGGCAACTGTGGGCCCCAATGAAAATATTTCTTGTTTATATGCAAGTGGCAAGAAAAGCTTTGCAGTTGATGCATAAGACAGGAGGTTGGAAGGACAGCGGGGTGTTCTGGGTTGGGTTTTTTGTTTCTTTGTCTGTTTTGACTGGTTTGAAGTGAGGGAAAAAAAGAGTCCTTTGTTGCTTTGGAAATCCACACTTTATGAAGAACACTATGGTAGTTAACAGCAAGTTATGACAACTTCTGAAATAGCTGTTTACTTTATCTGCATTCAGTCTCCAACAAGTAACCTATGCCACTGGCTTTATCAAATTATTTTTAGAAAAGTAGTACTTGTCCACTTATATTCCTTCTCTCCCCCTTCACCCCTCCACCTTAATTCTGAAGCATTGCAAAATACCTGGGGGGTTTAAAAAAAAGAAAAAAAAAAAGTATCTGAGTGAAGCAAGAACCCCGCATTGTGGTTTTACGAATACACCACAGAAAGGAATGGTACAGTTTGCTAAATCCTTTTCGCTATATAAACAAATGCCTCCAAAGAAACCACACAGAAAACACGCCCCAAAAACCAAATCATACACCATTGGAATGCTGAGGAGAGAGCTTCAGTTTGACATAAATTCAAAGCTATGCTATGTCGGAGAAGATGTTAGCTATCCATGCAAGTCTATAACAACTTCAAGTCAATTCTAAACAAACTTTAATAGTAGTGTGACAAAAGATACTTATCAGAGAGAGCAGCAACATCTGGCATGTGTTTTTGCTTGTTTTTTTGCTGTTTTTAAATAGAAAGGATGACCACATTTAAGTTTTTCTAACAAAGACACATCTCCCTACCTATAGTTTGCTGACAACTGCTATCTAATGTGTACATAATACCTGTAATTCCATACAGTAACTGGAGGCATAATCATTAAGGCACTAGTTCAGAAAAGCAGTTTTAGTCAGTGACAGAAATTGAGCACAAGCTTAAAATACCATTGTCTATCAGGAAACAGATTAAGTATGTGCTGAGATGCTTTTCTGAATCAGGGCGTTGTGGCAGAAAACTTTATTTAAAGAAAATTCCATCTGAAGAAGTTGTTGTACAGATTTTGGGGAAACTTCTCCACAGTTATCTTTCTTCCCGTAAAAATCTATTTTGAACAGGCAAACTATGAACTGCAGGAAATGAGCAATTAAGTCTGTTGAAGACTTACATAGCCACACACCCTAGTACAAATAAGACTGAGCTAACACCACACAACTTCGTTAGCTTGGGAAAAAGATCCCAAAACACAAGGGGGGGGGGGGGAACCACACACATTTGGTCAGAATCAAGATCTCATAAATTAAATATTGCTGGTTATAAAATGGTGCAATGTTAGCTTCAAAATCTCAGTACAGCCAAAGAAAACAAACACTTCCACTGATGTGTAATCTATTTTCACACTGTACAGCAGTACTGTAAAAAAGACTTTTTAAGAACAGATGGATAAAAGTGTTAAATTAAGTGTTGTCTGGTTTAGACCAACTAAACTTAGGTCTACTCATTTATGTACTGCTCATTTTTATTCTCCTTACCATAGCAACTGTACACATTAATCTGCAATCATGTGATTACTTATAATTACTTGGATTTGTTTCTTCTGGAGGCATAAATAAAGGGCACAAATACTTAAAATATATCAACCTAAAAATCAAATTCAAATATACACACCTTTACCTTGTACGACACTCCCTTCTACCGCATCACCCGCTCTGCCTTGAAAATCCTACCTCAAATGCATGAGCAGAATAATATTAACAGAAAGTTTGCCAATAAGTCAGTCAGGAGAGCTTGGGCCAGAAAACAGCTGTGAAAGTTATATCGCACATCTCTTTGAACGGTACTTTACTTTTCTATAGAAAAATTGGCTGGGAACACGCAGAAGCAATTATGTATAAGCACATTCAACTTCACAGGCACTATTACAGTACAAATAACAAAATGGAAACAGGGAAAATGGCCTTTCCTCTTCACTTGCAATTTGTTTATAAATGTGTGTGTCTATATTTATACACATACATATATACACACACACACATTAACATATGTAAGTGCATAACCATAAAAAATGGTAAGAATTCAGGACAGTATACCTTAAGTATACTTTACCAATAATGTTATTTTATATTACTTAGCACATTAAAGATTTCCCATGTTGCACAATACAAAATTTCAGGGAATAAAATAGTATCTCATGCGTGGCACACTTCAAATAAAGCCTAAGGGAAACAACAAAACATTGTGCTAACCATGATGGTCTGAAAAGGTCACACACAGTAGCAGTGAATATTGAAAAACCTGCCATTCTTCTAAACTAATGTATTCTGTACTACTGTTTGTAACAAGTTGTTGTTTTTTTTCTTCTTTAATAGCATCCATTGTACATATCAAACAAATGGAAGATATGGACAAAGATATCAAAAAAAGTATGGGAAAGACATTTAGAATGGTTCATTTACAATGCTGCAAATGTAAAAGTTATCTGGAATATCTTAATAAAGCATTAGACCTTTCCAAGTTTAATTTCACTCTTTAGGCAAGTACAGACATAATATACATTTAAAAATGGACATTCTTTTATCACTTTTCACAAATCAAGATACAGTGCAGGTATTCTCCCTCCCCCCAAAAGAAGAATATCAGTTATATTATTGTTACATTAGACGATGTTTTCGCCATTTCTTCAGGGGAGTGACTCTTTATTACTTCTTTGATGAACTGTTCAAGTGCAGTGAAATACCCTTGGCACTGCCAAGTGTCATTATGAGTTCCATCAGGAAAAATCGCCAGTCTCTTAGTCCGAGCTGGGGACAACTCGTAAAGTTGCTTCATCATAACTGGTGGAATTAACTGGTCAGACAACCCAGAGATGAAAAGAGAAGGCATTCTGCACTGAGAGATTTTTCTGTAGGACAGAAATTTATTTTTGTAGCACCATAAAGGAAGATATCTCATTGGAAAGAAAGAAAACAAAGTGCTGGCCATATGCGGGATGCTAAGAAAGGTGTTCTCCACCATGATGGCAGAAATTCTATGGGAATTTTCAGAAGCTAAATGAATAGCTACTGCTCCCCCCAAGGAACGGCCAAAAAGAAAAATTTTTGTTTTATCAAGATCAGACCTAGTCATCACATAGTCTAACACAGCCTCAGAATCTAAGTACAAACCTTCTTCACTTGCTTCTCCTTCACTTTTTCCATACCCTCTATAATCAACAAGGAGTAAGTTTACTTTCAGGTTTACCAGCATTAACAAAGCATTTGGCAATCTGTGGCCAATGTTGCCTGCATTCCCATGAAAGTAAATGACGGTTGGAGAATACGCTGCATTGTCCCCTGTGTATCTCAGAAGAATAAGATTGAGAAGAACTCCATCTTTGGTTTTGATGAAGATGTTTTCATGTGGTATACCAGTAGGCATAGGAACATAAAGGCGTGATGAAGAGGGCTGTTCAGGAAAGTAAAGCAGCACATCCTGGAATTTATATAATATACCTGCTATTGATACAAATATTAACATAAGTAGTGTAATGCCTCCGTACAAGTGAAAAGTTACTATCAAAGGTAAAAGCGAAATACGGCAGAGACCCCAAGACCAAGAAGCCAAAGCTAGTAGCCATCTTTCAACAAAGGTCCAAAGCATCCATGACTTTTCCATTGTAGTAGTCAGTGATCTTTTACTCCAAGTAAATCCTGTAGAAAAACCCAAACATATATGTATAAATACAGAGGGAAAGAAAACGGAAATGATTCAAGCATTCAGACTTCTAGGAAAAAAAGAAGTCAACGGTTAAGTCATTACACAACAGAATAAATGTCAAATTTAGGGGCAGACTCCCTTTGAATGTTTGGAAACCATTCAGTTCTGCAAAAACAAAGAGAAAACAATAATAAGAAAGAGGCTTTAGAAGTCTTCAAAATCTCATTTACATTGTTTCAACATTTAACATCCGTCAGTAACACCAGATAATTGGTTGACTGACATCATAACTTGTGCTTTCCCTCAGACATCCTTACAAACCAGCAGAGCAACCATACAGACCACAACATCATCAATTTCTCACAACTTTTCTCTTACAACTAATACAAAAAATAGAAGCCCTTATTTCTAAGCTAGTACAAATTAAGGCAAACAGGAATGGTTCAATAAGCTTACGTACTTCCCTCTATGACCAGGCTAGGCTAACAACGCACACAGAATCGGCTATCATTTAGCGTCTGTGCTTCAGCATCTTGATCAACTATGATTACAAAGCCAAACAGAAAACAATGAAAGAGATTCAACCCCAACAAAACAAATTTAAGTACAATGTGATATAACAGTTAACGTTTTGCTGTATTTGTATTGATTCTGATTTGTTTTGATAGTTTTCTATCAGCTTTATCAAATCATAACATAATCATCTTACATAGCAAAAAATGTGATATTATACAAGACCACTAAAAACACTCAGCTGACTACATTATCCTCCAATCAGTAAAATGTACAACTACTGAGAAGTCCAAATATGAAAACAGACTCATGACAAAAAGCTAGAAGTACACAGCATAAGATGAGGAGAGTAATAGTGAACAATAACGGATTAAATCTTTGCAATCATAACGGATAGGTATGTCTCACAGCATACACAGAACCTCTCACATTACTCGCTGTCGGAATTAAATCGTAGTACAGAAACCAGCAAAAACTGCCAAACCTACATGAGAACAACAGTAACTGTTCAGTCAGCATCACGTTGAATAAACACATTGCCAGAGGCAACAACGTAAGTTGGCTAGTTTAAAAATACTCTAGGTGGCTCCAAGATCATACTGCAGACAATAATTGCAGTTTAGACACAGTCTAAGATACAACCTGCTTGGAAAGATGTAGTGCAATGAGACATTCACTTAACTCCAAAGGAGTCTGACATGTAGAGACACGTTCAAGCACTGTGCAGCTGAGGTTCGGTTTCTATGGTTGATAGAGTCACAAGACTCAAACCAAAGTAACTATATGGTCTAATATTACTAGGAAGGGCTGCAACTGCATCAGCAATTTTGGTAGGACCGAGCGATCAAAACTCACCTCTGCATTCACAGCCTCTTCCATCACCAAACAGGACAAGCACTCAATATGACCAAGAAACACTGCTATAGCTCTATGAAGGATATTACTTTAGACAGATGATTATATAGATCAGCAATAAACATAAGTCAGCCACACCTTGAGATTCACATACTAACCAAATGCAATGTGAAATTAAGCTTTTGTACAGTATATCTGCTCCCAATATAAAGAGCTGGTGAAATATAAAGTAGTCTAGTTTGCAGTTACCCCCACTTCATTTTCTTGTATTATTTATTTACAAGTTCACATTCAGAATCCACAATCAAGTTTGCATAGGTATTGTCTATATGGAAATTTAATTATTTTGATCAATTTCTCTAGTAAGTCACAAAGACCAGCAAAGACATGAGGTAAGTACTTTGATTTATAAAAGAAACTTCCAATGAAGTTGACAATTTCTGCATTGACTCTAAAGACTGCAAGAGGAAGAGTAACTTCGATAATGACACAGTGAAAGCACTCCTCCTACCCATGTCATGCAGTTTTACTGAGTTGCTTGCAAAAGTATTTTTGGATCCTCTTTAGTTTTGTAACAAGACGTTCACTACAGAGGAACGGACCCCTAACTAAGAATCAGCACTAAAAAACAAAAAAGGTGATAAAAATCTTAAGATGATTATAAAATTTTGTGAATGCCTACCTCATACGACATCAAGGACTGCTATTTGTAGACTGATACTCACAACTGTTTCAGACGTGCACAGCTTCCTATTTCAATTTCAGTAAGATACGCAAAACTACCAGAGTGCTATACTAGTCTGTGGTACTGCTGCCCTAAGTTTGATTACTTCTGTTCTATAAAAAAGCAAAAACAAAAAATCCTTTGCTACCAGAGCTGCAAAGCCAAAGCATCTTGATCCTAAAACTAGAATTCAATATAGTCATGTGTTAGCATGGTGCAATGTTTCATTCAGTGTGCAGGTAGTGAAACAATGGAAATTAAAACTAGGGATTCTGTAAATCAAATTCAATTTCTTGCTATCAAAAAGCAACCCCTCCCAGTAACATAAAGGGTTTTAAGGCAGTTTTTGGTAGAAAAAAGAAAACCTGTAGTTTGTGTGTTTAGCATGTTAATTACCAGGAAGGAAAAACTATACAAACGTAACCCCTTCAGCTCATGTACACATTTGAGTAAGGCTGACTACCCTACACTAATGAGCAACTACATGAACACTGAGGTGTTTTTCCCAGGTGTGTGAAACTCTGCTAGCTCCACCCATTTCCAGGCTTGAATTGGATCATATCTGTTACTTCACATCTTCCTGAAAGTTTTGTTAGCGGGCGAACTAAGATACAAGTTTCTCCTAGGTTCCTGCCTGTCTCCTTCCAGTACTATTTGAAAGACTGCAAATACAGAAAATGATGGTTTATCATACAAGCACAGAGGCCTCGAAGACTTTAAACTAAGTGAATACAAGATCACTTTCAAGAATGCTACAAACTGTGTTTCCTGCGGAGTCCAAAAAAGTAGCAGGCCTTCCAAACATACCTTATTTGATCTGAATAGTAGAAGATGATACAAGCTGAGCCAGATTTCCACTTAAAGGACATAAAAAGAGAAAATTAATATAGTAATCCAGTGAGTAATAACTCACTGAGTAAGTGATAAGGTATTCCTTAAATCCTCAACGCTTTTTGAAGTTCATGAGTGCTCAGCATACTATAAGACTAAAACAAATCTCTTTTTGGTTTTTGGTTGTACTTTTCCCTACTGTTGGGCTGGTTAAGAAGCTACGCATATTGTACTAAATATACTACTAAATACTACTAACCTAATATTTTAGTTTATATAAGATGATCTTTCAGACAGTTTACAGTATAATGTCTTAAGACAGAAGGACTGTACTGAATTATGGAGAGCACCTGTCACATGTTTTTTTTGTTTTTTTTGTTTTTTGTTTTTGTTTTTTGCAACGAACTGGGTGCTACAGAAATTGCAGAGTGGTGGGAAACAGCAAGGAAAAAGGAGAAGAACATATTTAGACTTTGATGTTCCCTAATTGCCCAGTCAGTCCTTCAGTAAGAATATAAGTAGTGGGCATATTCTAAAGCTGAAGTCCTTAAAGTAATGTTAGTAAGCAAGATAAGCAATATTAACAAGTTTTCTAACAATCCTGCAAAACTCAGCTAATTAACTCAGTTGAGAGAGCTAAAGTTACTTTTCAAAAGTTGGAAATCCATTCCAATAGAAAAGCCTAACAGAAGGTCTCCACAAAACTAACACCTGTAGGACAGGAGAAAAAGAAAGACTGATTTTTGCCTAGTGCTTCTGTTTTACCACAAACTGAAACCAAGGTGGGACAGTTATCTGGTTATATCTAGGATATATCCTAGTTTCACACTTAATAAAAATCTAATCCTGATTTAACGATTCAATCTCAAATATATGCAGACTCACAAAGGGAAGCTTGAGATGACCTGGATGCTAACAGAAAGGGTGAACACACACACACAGAAAATCACTGGTTACATCATGCCATTTTAATGCTGCAGCTGCCTATTGCAGGGAAACTTGCAAGTAAGAACAGCCTTTTGTATACACTGTATATATTGCAGAAATACAGCACTTAACTGGGAAGTAATCCTCCTAGTGCACAGTTATAGGGCTTCTCCAAGATATATACCATATACTTTCATTGCATTCAGTTAAAACTTCTAGCCCATTATAGTAATTCTCTTCACCTCTAACTTCAAGCAGTTTGTTTTGAGTTCATCTACCTGAGAAACAAGAATAGTTAACCTGCCACCTGGATAAGCCTGTTTCTCTTTCTTGACTATAAGAACCACTTATGGACTTGCTCTGTTACTGTCAGATGTCCCAATTAGAGCAAGAAGGGCATACCCCATTACATATTCTAAAAAATAATTTTTCTTTTCAAACAATTTCTCAATCACCTGCAAATAAGACTAGTTAATGCTGTGCTTTACACTGCTGACTGTTTTAAAAGGATTACCTTGACTATATTGCCTTCTACTGCTAGATTTTATCAGAGCTATACAGAAAGATGGCATGAAACATCATCCACCCGTTACAGATGAAGACACTAGAATCAAAAAATGAACTGACTCTGGAAAAATCAATCAGTTGGCCAACGGAAGGCTAGTGGCAGGTCTGACAGGCTTTCAGCTCCAGCCAAAAAATTGAATTTGGTTTCTCTGCAGACCTCCTCTTCAGATCTCCCAGAAAAAATATCCACTTAGAAAGCATTCTTAGTCAAAGCAGGTTGCTTGCTGTCACTAAGAAATCCTAGATTTAAAGAACACAATATTGCTGCACTATATTTCAAGTAATTGTCCTAATTTCTCCTATGACAAGGTTTTCCTATGTAAAAAAGTCATTCCCTATTTTATAGCATATACAGTAACTGTATTTGATAAATGCAGACTATTTAAACATGTATTTGATTAAACTGACCAAGTTAGAGGCTATGATAACAAGCATTAAGGGAGGCTTTTTTTTGTTGTTGTTTTTTAAAAGCTTGCTGTTATGGAAGTCAATGGCTGTGACAAGTATAGAGCCATCAACAGCAGAATCAGAGTCTTATCTGCCAGATGCTTTTGTAGATAACTGATGGAAATTCCAAGATATGTTCAACCATGCTGTTCCTATGCTTAGCTGCCCTTCTTACTAGAAGGTAAACTAAAAATTTCCTAAAACTTTCCTAAAAAGGAAGACTGAGTAACTTAACTTTAGTACTTCCCAACTCAACGTTCACCAGCCTTCAAACATCCTATCTGCCTTCAGTTTCTCCTGACTATACATAACCAGCTCCTCTGCTCTTTCCTCACAGATCATGTTTTCTTAGGTACAAAAATCATCGGATGCCTTTCCTCTAGATTCTAACTGCTTCATATTTCCTCCTCTCTCTCCTGATGAGTACTATCAAGTTCTGAGCAGCTTGGTCTTACTGGTGCAGAAGAGTGGAAAAAACATCTTTAAAGACTTTTCAAAACTGCATCATAAAGGCTAGCTTTTGTGAATACCAGTGGTTCTCACAACATAAGTTTATAATCATCAACAAAAATTTAAGAAATGAGCAAAAAAGTGTATTAAATACCAAGTTCTAAAATTGGCATATCCATTAGCAAAGAAAAACACTAACATAACACAAGTCAACGTTATGCCACCCATACTCTTATTAAAACTTAATTGAAAGGAAGACTTAACCAGAGTGCTTCTCTGCCTCAAACAATCGATTTGCTTTAAAGCCCACTAGAGACCACTTCAGTTTATACAGCTACAGAACAGTTCCCAAATTGCTTCTCTGGACAAAAAAAAAAAAAAAAAAAAACACCCACAAAAATCTGACGGTGATGTGTCTCAATCAAACCTTACAGCCACCTTTTTATCCCACAGGGATACATACATCTGTTTATCTATCTATCCTGTTCTGCATCCACAGTTCAGGAATTATTGACAGAGCCAAATGACATATTCAGTCAGATGAGCTACACATCCCATTTTTTAAATAATTACTGATCATGTGAGTCACTCATAACAATACAAATTCTGAGAAGAATCAAAGTCTTTTTGATCAAGATATTTTAATAATAATCTGCTGTGAGCTAATGCTACTCTTAAACAGCTAAGATCATCATCCACTGAAGATGTGAAATACCTAACTGCACAATACTCAAAGGTACGTGTGAACAGTTTTTCACTTATTTTGAACAACAATCAATTATTTTTATATTTGCCATTAATTCTGCTGTATTTTCAGTCTCCATCTACATTTTTAGTAAAAAAATTGCTATTTTCACACACTAATCACATTATAAAACATTTACCTTTGGAGGTGATGATTTCCCGTGCTTCATCTCTGCCTGAAAGACAATTGCATTTGGGAGCTTTGAGTAAAATTGCTTTTTGAGTTACACACATAATTACTGTTTGTCTGCAGTTATTTGAAAGAAGGTTAGGAGCTAACAGCCAGGGAGCCTAGAAGTTATGTATCTGCTTCACTTGTGAAATCAAGCATATCATCTTGCTCTGATGCTCTTCCTGCCAAGCTCAGCTCTTGGGTGAAAGGTCTGATAAATTTGAAAACAACATCTTACAATGAAGCTGAGAATGATGCTGAAATGTACTATATGACTATACACATACCACAGAGTATACACTGCCTCCTCAAAGCTAACTTTTAGAGAGGGCATAGCAGTCTTAAAGTTAGTGCTAAGAAGAACATTCAGATGTTTAACGGCTGCTCTCTGTACAAAGAGCTTTACAAAAAGTTAGTGTTAATATTCACTGCAATACCTAGTATTTCATTATGGTTTCAAAAGAAACAAAACATACTTAGTTTTGTTCAAAAACACAGAAATATCTGAAGACATCTGTTTTGTCCTACTGCACTTCCCTTCCCCTGTGTTCCACCTCCTCCAGACATACACAATACTTAAACATGAGCAAATAGAAAACGTGTTATTTAGAAGATTTCTATAAAAAGAAATATTCTCAACAGTCACAAGTTAGGGTGGGGGGCTAGATCTGAGAGTGAAATTAATCTGTAAGAAAGCCTACAAAAAGCTTAAAGAGGACAAGAAAATTACATTTCCTCAATACTAAAATCTTACAAGGAAACTCTCATAAGAGATAAAACAGCAAAGCAGCTACTCCTAAACTAAGGAAAAAGCAGAACCAGAACAACAAAATCCCAGACATAAGGATTCTGTTTTTTGAAATCAGAAAAGGAGCTCTCCTACTAACTTTCAAACAACTTCAAACTTCCATTGCTCTGTATCAATCACGCAGATTCATAATCCAAAGTATCTTTCTCTAACTCTTATTATACTTTGCTTTCCACAACTGACAAACTCCACTGATTCTTACAGCCATTTCATAAATCGTGAGGGTACTGTAAAAAAGCAAAGACAATTATCACATTAGAAGCTTCACCTTCTAGTGAGAATGAGCTCCTAAAACCTATTACTTTTCAAATATCTGGAGTTATTTCCAACTTTAATTAAAAGAAATATTCCTTTCTGTGTTTTCCACATATTTACTTGAAATAGTTAAGCACATAAAAAGTCATGATCCATTTCCTGTAAGCCTCCCGTTTGTAGCAACAGAGGCAAACACAAGCAGAATAAGATTTTGCTGCGAGTAAGTAAAAATCATCCCGAGGATCTACAGGAAGGTACCTGAACTAATAAAGCTTTGAATGCTGCTTTCAAGGCAGCAGCTCCCTGTGAATAACACACCCAAACGGAGGAACAGGAACGACGTATTCCCACAGAACAGGGCCGTACCTTCCCTCCCCGCCCCATTCCCTCCGCAATTAAGAGCTGCGCGTTAATCACAGCGATCCCCCCAGCTCGCTTCCCAAACCCACTTCTCCAGCCGCCGCCGGCCCGCTCCCTGCCCTACTT